TCCCCACCTGAAAACAAAACAGCTTGAGGTGAGGAAAGTGTTGGGCTGAAAAACCAGGAAGGAAACCAAAGTAGCTAGTGTTGAAGTGGGTATATGTGTGATAGTGCCCTTGGAGAGCTGCCAGGTCCCTGCTGTTCCTTCTGGTTTAGGAAACGCAGCAGAGTGATGTTTAGAACCTCAGTTAAATCTGGGACATTTTTGCCCTCCTGCTTCTAGTTACCCAAGGGCAGGAACCAGGCCCTAAGCCCCACCTCACAAGCAATTGCCCTCAAGGGTGGTTGACCAATGAATACCCCAGGTTGGCAGTCACTCATGCCCTTTGTGAGCTACAGAATGCAGATCTTTCCCCCATTTTTTGGTTGGAGAGCTCAGATATAGTCCACATCTTGTCTCCTTCCCTCAGATCTCATCTGAACCCCCTTAAAGGCAGCTCTCTCAACAGCTGTTTCCTTCAGGGGCCCAGTTTCCCCACAGCCTGGGCTGCGTACTCCCACTGTAGGTCCTTGGCTGGTAAAGCCTGGAGAAGGGTATAGGATGGTGGGTGAAGCCCTGGGGAAGGTGGAAGGATAGATTGGGGGTGGGGGGTGGGGAGCATTTTTTTAAAAAAAAAAAAACTCATTCTGATTTTCTGCATTGTGTTTGGGAATTAAAATGAAAAAACTAAGACCAATAGAAACTGGTTTTCAAAAAGGCAAATACACTCCCATCTGTTTCAGATGCTGCTGAGCATTTCAGCGGTGACAGATTCAAATAATAAGCTAATTTTTGGAGAAAGGATTAAAAGAAAAAAAAACTTTGTAATATTTATCACTTGCAAGCTATGTTTAATAAAGAAAGGAATGGTTTCTAAACTTTCCTGTGACTTGTGCTTTAGTCATGGTGGAGGGTGGGGATGGCAGTTTGGTGGGAGCAATTTTAGGGGCAATTTGGAGATTGGCTATGATTTATACTCCCTGCAGTCACTGGGGTACCTTTATAGTTTGTGTCCTTTCTTCAGTTTTAAGGATTTAAAGCCCTTACCTATTTGAGTATTCTTGTTCCCCTCACTTTTATGTAGATCCATGTTCTGGAAGCCACTGATATGACTTTAATTACCTGATGAGTTAAGGTCTAAAGGTATCCCGGAGGAGGCTGCATTTAACCCAGAGGCTGGACCTCCATCCTGTCCGAAGGAGAGGTGTACTCTAGTTGTCCTTGGCCCTTCTCACTATGCTGCTCTAGTCTCCAGTAACAGTTCTTTGTAGCATGCTGGTCTCTCCAGGGGGAACCTTAATACAGCCCACACTGTTCTTAGCAAGCTGCATAATATGTACTTCCTTAGTTGGAATGCAACATCCCCTGAAAGATCTGCAACTGCTGTGTCCTACCATGTCACTCACCTCCACTCCCCCAAGTTCTCCTTTCAATCCAGAACATTAATCAGATCCTAATTTATTTTTTCCATCTTGGTTTATTTCCAGCAAAGCATTTAGACCAGGCCCACCCAGAGGAGAGGATGGTACTTCCTCAGGGAGCTGAAGTTTGGGGCTGTTCTTAACCTCTTGGTCCTCTGCCACACCGTTTAGTCAAAACAGCTTCTGCTCCTTGGGCGGTTCGGGAGGGGCAAGGCCCAGCCTTGCTGGAGTCTTGTCATTGGTACTAACATCTTTCTACAAGAGCACAGGGGAGACAGTGATTGGATCCCACCAAGACCAGCAGATTAAGAGCCTGGGGTTTTGGTTTTAGGGCATGGAAGGGCTGGACAAGGAGGGGGCAGGGGCCAGGACTGCCACAGGTCATCATGAGCAGAGTGGGAAAGACATGCTCTTTGGACACCTAGAACAGAGGGGAATAGATGTGTAGGGTGTTCCACAGCCCCTGTGCTCATTCTACAAGGGATTCAAGGCCACCAAAACCTCAGTGCAAACTAATCGTTCCTTTCAAAAACAGAAAAATGGAAAAATGTCGAGGGGTGCCTCCTGAAAGGGGGCCAATGCTTTGGATCTGGAAAGGTGGAGAGAGGCATTTGGTTGCTGAGAAAAGCAGTGCACGTGAGCTTAGATGTCCGAAATGCTTCTGGTGTCGGAACAAAGTGGCAAGGAACTCGGAGCCCCTTTGCCCACCTGCCTTTTTAAACAACCAGGAACGCAGAATGCCTGTCCCGGGTCAGACTCCAGCTTGGGCACAGGAGAAACGTTTCAGACAGGAGGTTCAGGTTGGAGGATGTGTGCCCTTGCCCCACTTTCCCCTTCGGGGGAACCCTTAGAGCTATCTGTCTTTGGGGATCATGGATCCTTTGGATCATGAGGATATGTTCAGTGGGGTGTGAGGGAGGATTAACGGAGAGAACTCCCACCTGAGCATGGTTTAGTTTTAAGTTATCTGGTGTGTTGGGGATGACACAGATTCCCCCCTTTCTTGAGGAGAAGGGAGAAGCGGAAGTCATGTCCTCTTTTCTCTTCCTATGGTCAGGCTTGCCCCTCTCCACTGAAGGGGCTCAGGGACCTTTGGTTCCTTCCTGCCTCCAGGGTGGCAGGGAAAGGTGAAGTAGGTTCTTAGGTAGGGCTGCAGTTAGTGACATCGGGAGGGAGCCAGTTTGGAGGGCCCTAGGCTAAGGGCAGCTGCTCCACGGTCACAGGAGGGGGAAGGCGGTGGTCAGGCATCAGATGCGGGGCCTCAAGCATACCACTCTTTGCTCCCCAGTCCCCCTCACTAGACTCCTCCTCACCTGGGTATTGAGTTCAGTCTTCCCTGGCTTCCCTCCACTCACAGCCTGGCTTCTGCAGCCCCCAGCTCCATCCCAGGCAGTCTGAGGCACTGCTTAGCACTCCTGTGACTCCTGTCTGCTGAAGAGGCTGCCCGGATGGAGAGGATGAGCACCATGAGCTGTCTGGGGCTTCCCTCTGGCTTAGCGTCCATCAGCCCCAGCCTTTCATCCTGTTCTGTGCACCCGAGAGACAGGAGAAGCCAGACCCTTCCTTGTGCAGAGTCGCAGGAATCCAGCTCTGGCCTTTTCGCCGCCTGTCCTTTGCCCGGGGAGCCCCTGTGCTCCTGTTTCATGCAGCCACCAAGCCTCCTCCCGCTCCTAGTACCACACAACTGAGAAGAACTGGCCCTCGCTCGCTGCCTCAGTCTCCTCATTTGTAAAACAGCATAGTCATGGATAAAAGCCCTTCCCCACTCTTTGGACCTATGCCGCCATAGTGCAGACCGTCTTCCTAGCAGTTCTCCACATTAGCCATCCTTATCTATGTCTCCAGCCCAGGAGGAGACAGAGGAGGCAGAAGATGAGGGCAGCCAGGCCCACGTGTATGCCCACCACAACCCCAGGTGGCGAGCTGCTCTCATCCTGGCTGCAAGAGCGCCCAGCCTTGGACTCTGTGGATACAGTGCCATCTGTCAGAGGACCAAGGTGGAGGCAAAGCTCAGCCCCTCCTCCTCCTCGAAGATTGGCGGCCGCAGGTCCTATGTTAAGGGCCTGCTTGGACCCCAGGCCTGCCACCCTGCTACCAGATTCCACTCACCAGGGGTGGCCAGGGGCACATCGTGCCGAGAGACAACATGGGAACAGTGCTTGCCATCCCCATGGCCACTGAAGGCCTGGAGCTGGATCTCAGAGAGGGCCTCACTCAGATCTGTGTAGAGAAAGAAACTGACAGTGCTAGCCAGAAGCAGGGGCCCTTCAAAACGGGCAGCAGGCAGCTTGCGGTGAAAGAGACTGAAGCCTTGGATCGACCCCAGCTGGAGTGGCAGCTCCCACGAGGCCTGCACAGAGGTGACATTGAGCGCTTTGGTGGGGAAGCCGAGGGCAGCAGGGGCTGCAGAGGAAATGAGATGAGCTGGTTGGCAGTTCTGTTTGCCCAAGGCCAGGGGCTCTGCAGGGCTGGAGAAGCTGTTGCTCACTGCTGCCCATGCTGGAAGCGTGGATAGAGGCCGAGTCCTGGCTGGCACCCTCTGCTGAGTAGACCCGCACATGGATGGAATAGACCATGGCAGGCTCCAGGTTGGAGAAGACGTGCTCAAAAGGTGCCTTTGCCCCCACCCTCTTGGAGCTCTGGACCAGCTGGCTTGGAGAAGCAGAGAAGCTTGGCAACCAGCATCCCTCTCCCTTACTACAACCATCCCCCACCACCACAAAGTGGGCACAGAGCCCCAGCTAGGTCTCCAAGGAGAGAAGGGAGTGGGGGCTGCAGGAGCCAGGATGAGAAATGCTGAGGATAAGAAGGGGGTTGAAGAGCAAAAGGAAGTACCAGAGGTCCAGGCAGGTCTGGGCATCACTAAGAGTAAGAGAAACTTGACCAGGGACTCCTGTCCATCCACCCACACCCACCTCCCACTGGCTGGAGGTGCGACACAAAGCTGATGACGTGTCCCCACTGGGGGGCAGTGGTTCCTGGGACACTCAAATGGCAGAGGTGGAGAGAGCCGCTGCCACGGGCAGGCCCTTGGGAACGGGATGGCTCTGGATACCGTCACAGCCAGGCAGGCACTGGCCTGGTTGGAGCCTGCACTGTTCTCTGCCGTGTATTGGTAGATGGCCTCGTCCTCTGCGGATATCCACAACAGGGAAAAGCAAACACAGCCACTGGGGCTCCTTCCCTCCGGGTTCCCTGCCCTGGTGGAGTGGCAAGACCCACGGACCAGTCCAGAAGCAGAAGGACCCACCACCCATATGCAGGTGTCGCTTGTAATGGAGCAGGCTGGGCAGAGCCTCCTGTGGGTGGAGTTAGCTGCAAGGGTTGTAGACAGTAAATGTAGGAAGAGAGTGTTGTATAAGGTGGGGGTGGATGCCTGGGGCAGCTGAGGGGACCTCAGCAGTCAGGCAGAGTGGAGGGGGTGGAACAGGCGTACCTCGGGTACCTGTTGTTGTAGGTCAGCCGAATGTCATCCCCAGGACTCAACCCCTTCCTATTCTTCAGCCAGACCAGCCAGGGCTCAGGGACACCCTGGGCTACACAGATGAAGATGGTGCTGCTGCCTGGAGGCTTGGACAAGGACTGTGGCCAGTGGACAAACTCGGAGGGAGCCAGGCAGGTGATGGCATGTGGGAGGTGCCATGAGATCTGGCCTCTCACCCTCCTCCCGCTCCTCTCCTCATCCAGGTTCCCGTGGAGGGTGAGGTGACCCAGGACACTCCCTAGCTGGCCCTTGGGGTTCACCCTGCACAAACAGGATGCCCTGTGCTATCGTCGGATCTGAGTTCCGAGCTGATTGACTGACTGCGCAGACGTAGACTCTTGAGTGCTGGACCAACACTTCGGAGATCATGAGGTTCCCAGGGCCCAGGACTTGGATGCCCCCTACGCTGATGGAGCAGCCACCTGCGGGGAGACAACTGGTCAGAGCTGGAACGGTGCAAAGGGCTGGGGTCTCCGGAAGGCGGGACGGGGCAGGACGGCTACACACCCAGGTAGCTCCAGACCAGTGGCTGTGGGTGGCCTGTGGCGATGCATTCCAGCACTGCACCCTTGGGTTCTGAGCTCCAGACAGGATCTCTGGCTCCTGTGGCAGCTGTGGGGATCCCACTGAGAGGCGAAAACAGAAAATTGAAGGATCAGGAAACAGAACTCTCCCCTCGAACCCAGGAGACACTTCAGCTCCGCTCCCAGAGGCTCCTTCTAATCCTCAAGTGACCAGACCCCAGAGGTGTTGCCATTTTACTCCTAGATTACATATAAAGAAAATTACTTGCCCAAGATCCTATGGCAGTAAATAGAAGTGTGTGTGTACATGTGTGCGCACTAAGTCACTTCAGCCATGTCCAACTCTTTGCAACTCTATGGACCATACCTGCCAGGTTTCTCTGTCCATGGGATTCTCCAGGCAAGAGTACTGGAGTGGGTTGCTGTGCCCGCCTCCAGGGGACCTTCCTGACCCAGGATCGAACCCATGTCTTCCTGAGGCTCCTGCATTGCAGGTGAGTTCTTTACTAGGGAATCCCACAAATAGAGGTATACTTCATTTTATTGCGCTTCACAGATACTGTGGTGGTTTTTTTGTTTTGTAAACAAATCAAAAGCTTGTGGCAACCCTGCATTATCAGATGATGGTTAGCAATTTTAGAAATCAACTTTTTTATATGAGGTATGTACATTGTTTTATACATAATGCTATTTAATAGGATACAGTATAAACATGATTTTTATATGAACTGAGAGGCCAAACAATTCACATGACTCGCTTTATTGTGATAGTCACTGTAGTCTGGCACCAAACCTGTAGTACCTCTGAGGTCGGCCTACATCAGAGCTCAGGGTACTAAGCAGCCCCAAGTTAAACTGGAGGGGTGGAGGGAGGAAAGGGTGTCAGCAGGGCCCCCGCCAGCACAGAGTGCCCCTGGAGGGCCTGCAGCAGTGTCAGAACATGAACTGACCAGGTAGGGAGGTAATGGCGGATACCCAGGGACCTAGTCCCCCTCCCTAAGTCACCCACAAAACTGGCAGGAGACCCTGCCCTTAGAAAGAGAGCCAGGCCCCACCACCAAGTGAGCATGTCTCAGCTGCTCAAAAGGGATGCAAACGTTTTCTGAAATAAACTGCTCTCTGGGGCTAACAGCATCTTCATTTTCTGGCACCCTCTCCCATCTTATTAAGTGAATCAGCACGTCGTCACTGCAGGGCTGCCTTGTGTGAGGTGCTATTCTCACACTGGGAGCACAGGTGTGAACAGCAAGGGACCAGGCCTTTGTCTTCCTTCATCCTGTCACCCCTATTCTTGTTTTGCTACTTTTTATTTTATGAGATTTTGTAACATATTTATTTAACCTTTTCATAAATGTCCTTTATTAAAAATTTAGGAATTCCCTGGCAGTCCATGGGTTAGAATTCTGTGCTAGCACTGCAGGGGGCAGGGGGTGGGTCCTGAATTTGATCCCTGGTTGGGGAACTAGGATCCCACAAGCCATAGCATGACAAAAACAAAAAAACTTCTCATACAAAGTTACATCTCTCAAAGTTTCTGGGCTTCCCTGGTGGTGCTAGTTGTTAAAAAAAAAAATCTGCCTGCCAATGTAGGAGACGCAAAAAATGTGGGTTTGATCCCTGGGTCAAGAAGATCCCCTGGAGTAGGAAATGGCAACCCACTCTAATATTCTTGCCTGGAAAATTCCATGGACAGAGGAGCCTGGCAGGCTACAGCCCATGGGGTTGCAAAGAGTCAGACCTGACCGAGCTCACACACACACACACACCGGTGACTCAGCCGGCAGAAAATCCACCTCCCAATGCAGGGGACTTGTGTTTGAGCCCTGGTCCGGGAAGATCCCACGTGCTGCAGAGCGACTGAGGCCATGCTCCATGACAAGTGAGCCTGTGCTCCAGAGCCCAGGAGCTGCAACTACTATCCACCTCCCAATGCAGGGGACTTGTGTTTGACCCCTGGTCCGGGAAGATCCCACGTGCTGCAGAGCGACTGAGGCCATGCTCCATGACAAGTGAGCCTGTGCTCCAGAGCCCAGGAGCTGCAACTACTGAGCCCACATGCCAAAACTATTGAAACCTGAACGCTCTAGAGCCTATGCTCCGCAGCAAGAGAACCCGCCACCACGAGAAGTCCGTGCACTGCACTAGAGATTAGCCCCCGCTCACCACCACTAGAGAAGAGCCCACGCAGCAACGAAAACCCAGCATAGCCAAATATAATTTTTAAAAAAGCTCCTCAAGGACTGGTATACAGTCTTACACATCTTTAAATCTGGTTCAAGGTCTAGCATAGTATTTCATCCATTCTCCATTCAGCCCACCACCATATATTGAGAGTCTACTTTGGACCAGGCACTCCTCAGTTTGCCGCCCAAAGCTCGAGCTCCAGCTGTGGACTGTCTTGAAATGTCCTGGCCTTGGCTGAGGAGGCAATGTTCCACCTGGTCAGGCCGTCTCGTGGGGCAGAGCTGGTCCATGTGACATCCATCCCTGGCTGGACGCCTCCGCATGCCAGGCTTTATACTGTGACCCCCCATGCACCGTCCCCTTTAATCCTTACTACAAGCCTGTGGGGCCAGTGCTTTTAGTTCTCCAAGTTCACAGATGAGAAAACAGTGCCAGAGAGAGCAAGTGACTTGTTCAACCCCAGAGGGCCTGGCAGAAGTGGAACGCAATCCTGGGTCTTGGAGGCACTGCTGACAGCATTCCCTCTGGGCACTGTGAGCTCCTTGAAAGTCTGGGAAATCCCGTGTCCCTGGTGCCTGCCCAGGGTAATGCCCGCCCCAGGGGGTGGATGGCTGGGGCCTCGGTACCCAGCTCCTGTCTCCTGTCCCTGGGGGAATGTCTACACTGATCCCAGCTTCTTCTGTGAAATGTAGGCTATCATGTAACTCAGTCACCGGCTGATCCTCTGTGCCCAAAAAGCACCTGCTTGTCATCTGCCTAAAGCTCTCTGGCCATTCAGTCCCCTGCTTCTGCGGCCAGCAGGATGGAGGACCCGTGCCTGCCCAGTCACTTGGCCAGGAGCACTGATCATCATGGAAGCCTGGCATCCTGCCCTGCCCTCATGCCTGGGATGGCCGATGGGAACAGGAAGTGGAAAGCCACAGGAACCTCACCCCAGCTTCCCTCTGCTCTCAGGGAGGAGCCCCTGATCCCCACTCTTTGCTTTCAGTTTCGAAGTCAGCTCCAGATAAGAGACACCATAGATGTCCCCTTCCTCTTTCAGGCTTCAGTTTAAAAATTAAGCATCTTTTGGTAGAATTTTGCTTTGAGGCTTGCCCAAGGTTCACTTGTTATCTGTGCTGCGGGGGCCCCCTAGTGGGTAATTCAGGCATGCTATCCCCGCACACTCCCGTGGCCTCGGCTTCAGGCTGTGGCAGGAGTCTTACCTGTTTCCCACTGGGTATCATCTCTTCATAGGTTCTGCTGCAACCCTCATTTTGGGCACAAAACTCTCTCATCCCACGTGGCCTGTATTTCGGGTCATTTGGGGCATTTCATCTCAGGTAAAAGGCTATTTTCACCCAAAGGAGGAAACACGCAAATGTGTGTGTATGCGTGCACACAAACACACATGCACATACATCTGAGCACACCATGCACAAACACAAGTGTACCCAAGCATCCACTCCCAGCCGAGTCCCAGGAGCCCCTAAACCCATCAAAAGGGCTCCCACTACTCTGGATCAAGTCCAGACTCCTTTCCACGATGGGAATCACCTACCTTTTCTACATCAATTTTTTGTTACCTTGAATTCTCCCCATTCTCTGGTCCAGCAACGTGGAATTGCCTGCGTGAACTGCACTATTCTAACCCTTGTGCTTTTACATGAAGCAGTGCCACCCTCTCCATCTTCTTGACCTTGGCCTGCCTCTCCGCTCACCCTTCTAGTCTCAGCTTGGTATAGCTTTCTCTCAAGGCCCCTTACCAGCCCTTGCCCATAGCCCAAGGCTGGGTTAGAGGCCTCTGCCCTGGGTTCCCACAGCACTTCCCTGTCTACTCAGTTGCCAGCTCTGGGAAGCCATGATGGACTGACTGGGCCTCTTCCACCTGCTTACTTCTGTATTCCCACACCCAGCACAGTCCTTATATGTAGCCAGCGCTCCAAGTATCTGTACCACATGCAACCACATCAGCCACACCCACTCCCTGTGGCGCCAGCTCCCACATCCTCCTCTGCCCAGTGCCTGCTCTGATCCCCCTGGTCCTCGCTTCCCTTTTAGCATCAGCCGCGCATCCTGGCTGTGGCGAGTATTGGCCACATTGTGAGCCACGCAGCAGTATGTGCCCAGGTCCGCCTGGCTCACACGAGTGATGCGGAAGATGCCACCAGGGGTCCCTGGCTGGGCACTGGCCCACAGCCTGTCAGCCTACTACACTCCTTACTGGTGCTCACCTCTGGTCAGCGGTACCCAAGGTCATGCCATTGTGTTCCCAGGAACTGGAAGGCTCAGGCACTCCCCGGGTCATGCACTGGGAGCAGGTGACTCCACTCAGCTCCTCCTTGGCAGACTCTGGATGTTGACGGAAGCATGATAGGCCTAGGACACAGGGACCACCTGAGCTCCCGGACGGCTGGCCCCCACCTCTGCCGCCAGCAACTCTGTCCCGGAGCCCCAGCTTCCCCTCCATGCCCACAGTTGCCACTCCCCACTGACTGCCTTTTTGCACCCCTGCAGTCTTGCATCTGTGGTCTCTGGAGGCCATGAGCACTTTACCTTCATGACATTTAAAATTATGATTTACATTTGCATTGGTATCAACACAAATATAATCCAGAACTATAAAATAACAACTCACTATTATATATTCGTTATTCATTTTTTCTTCTGGTTTTAAAGAAATTATATTTAAAACAGGTTTGTGATCCCCTGAAAAGGCCCTCAGTGCATACTGTGTCTAATGGCCAAGTCAACACTGCCCAGGCCACCCTGGGCAATTCTGTGCCCTGTGGGCGCCATCTGTGGGTACCCCTATGCACTCATCCCCCATAACCCTCACAGGAGCAGCCCAGTCACTTACTTGCCAGTTGTATCTGGGCCCACGAGCACCAGGCAGTTCTGGGCCACACAGTGGGACTCATGGGCACGGGAGGGGAGGCTCCAGCGAGAGGGCAGGCGGCCAGTTGCAGGAGCGGTTGGGCATCAGGGTGGTGCTGCTGGCGTTGGTCAGGGCCAGTCTGTCCCACTGCCAGGAAATGGACATAGGTGGCTCACCCTCCACCTGGCCAGGCAGCACCAGTGGGCACTCCCGCACGAAGGCCAGCTCAGAGCCTGCAACGGGACCCGTGGGGACAGCAAGCCAGGCCTGGGCACAGCAGCCTCATGTAGCCCACCACCTCCAATCAGTTTTGAGCCCCTCTCGGCTGGGTAAGGGGTAGGGAGGCAGGACTTTACTTTGGTGGGGGCCTTGGGGAAGCACACGAGGAGGGCCTAGCAGTCCAGTCCAAGGAGCAGGGCCGCCACTGTCCGGCTGGGCCACTGCAATTGATGGCCTCTTTCAGCTGGACCCTGGCAACAGGGAGGGTGCGGGGCGGGCACAGTGGCGAGGTCAGGGGCCCAGGTGGTTGGGCATCAGGGTGGTGCTGCTGGCGTTGGTCAGGGCCAGTCTGTCCCACTGCCAGGAAATGGACATAGGTGGCTCACCCTCCACCTGGCCAGGCAGCACCAGCGGGCACTCCCGCATGAAGGCCAGCTCAGAGCCTGCAATGGGACCTGTGGGGACAGCAAGCCAGGCCTGGGCACAGCAGCCTCCTGTAGCCCACCACCTCCAATCAGTTTTGAGCCCCTCTTGGCTGGGTGAGGGGTAGGGAGGCAGGACTTTACTTTGGTGGGGGCCTTGGGGAAGCACACGAGGAGGGCCTGGCAGTCCAGTCCAAGGAGCAGGGCCGCCACTGTCCGGCTGGGCCACTGCAATTGATGGCCTCTTTCAGCCGGACCCTGGCAACAGGGAGGGTGCGGGGCGGGCACAGTGGCGAGGTCAGGGGCCCAGGCGTGGGCACTGTGCTCCCCAGGAGCCAATGGCATCACCTCCTCTCTCCCACACTGGCCCATCTGCCCGTCTGCCTGCAGGGTCAGCTTCCTGGGACTCCTGGCTCTCTTTTCCCACTGCCGAGATCCCAGCCCCTGAGTGGGGGAGGAGCACACTCACATATTCACTCACTCACATATTCACTCACACCCATGTATTCACTCACACCCACATATTCACTCACACCCACATACTCACTCATACCCACATATTCACTCACACTCACATATTCACTCACACCTGGACCGAAAGCCCAGCCTCACAGACCTGGACACTGCTTCCATCCCAGAACTGTCCTCTCACAGAGGACTCTCACATGAAGACATCCCTACAGACTCAAAGTCACAAATGCACAAGCACGCAACGGCAGACACCAATGTTGCAGGTCTAGAAATGCAAGCTCAGAGCTGTGAACCCACATGCACAGACCACCCTACATGACACCAGAGCATGCGATGACTCAGCCTTCCAGGCTGAGCAGGAGCCTGCCCAGCAGATGAGCAGCGTTTGAGGGGAAGAGCCCCCAAGCCTAGGGCTCAGCCAGCCTCGGCCATCGATGGGGAAACCTCCTGGCCCCTGCTCCTCCAAGACCCTCTGCTCCACAGCCCCCCCCAACCTGTGTTCCCTCAGCTCCCCTGCTGCCTGGCACCCCCAGACTGCAGTCAAAGCCTGCTCTCCCAGACCCTCCCTCCACCTAGCTCTTCCCCACAGGCACGTGCCTGTCCGTCCCACTTCCCTCCAAGGCTTTTCAGCACCCCTGCTCTCATCACCTTGGTGTCCCGCACCCCCCGCCCCCGTTTCGCCCCTGGCTCTCCCATCCCAGTGTCTTCCCCCTTATCCTCCCATCCGCCCCTCTCACCCCGCCTTCCCCCACCTCTCCCCCACTGCCCTCCTCTTCCTTCTCCCTCTGTGTCCTGCAGGCCCCGACACTTACCCCAGTCTTGGAGCAGCAGCAGCAGCAGCCCCGGGCCCTGTCCCCACAGGTTTGGCCCCCTCAGTCCTAGGCTGCTCCCCAGGCAGCTCTGGTCTTCTGCCTTCAGCCTGGGGTCCCCTGGGCTGTGGGCATTCCCCACACAAGCACTTGAGGGAACTCAGTATGGGGGCCCAGGGTCCAGAGGGCTGAAGTCTGGGGTAAAGGTTGGAGGCTGCTGTCTTCCCTGGAGCTGGGTCTCTCTCTGCTTTCAGCCTGAGCCCCCCACACCCCCAGCGTCTCCTCCTCCCAGGGCCAGGACACAGACACTAAGACAGTTGGAGCAGGGATGGGGGGTGGGGTGGAGGCCAATGAGAGGAGGGCAAAGTTGGGGTCAAACCTGTCCCTTTCCCAGCCTCAGACCTAACTTACTCCTTCCCAAACATGGATTGAATGAGTGAAGTTTGCTGGTGGGGGAGGCCTCTGTTTCCCCTAAGCCCAACTCTGGGGATCCAGGGCCAGAACTGGGAGGCCCGGAGTCTGATATGGGCGTCCTGGGTAGGGGTGCAGAGCCCCCGTCCTCCTAGAGGACTCACTGTCCCAGGTGCTGAGCCAGGCCTGTAAGGGAACTCATCCATTAGTTCGGTCTTGGCCGCAGCAGCCCCCTCACCATTCACAGTGTCACTTTCCAAAGCTGTTCTCCCCACACTTGTTGGGACAATGGATTGGGGTCCTGGTGACGGGAGGCACTGGCAGGCGGGGGTGAGGACCCAGTCTCCACTGCCCAATCTGAAAGAGAAGAAAGCAACCTGGGCCCTCTCCTCTTGCCGGACTGACCATCTAAACAGGCAAGAAGGAGGGGGGCGTTGCCTTTTCACCAGAGGAGAAGGCCCCAATTTTCAGACTTACTTGTTTCTGTAGGACCCCCTTCACCTAAACTGCATCCTCTGCCCTCCAAAAGCAACGGGCAGAACACAAGGCCACAAGCAGCCAGGCTTCTGGCCCCAGAAGCTCCAGCCTGTCTGGCCCCAGACTGAGTCCCCTGCCCCTTACTCTTTCTCCTTGGCGTTACCCAGCTCAGGCTGTGCCCCTCATCTCTTTGGCACAAGCGCCCATCGCTGGTCTTCTCTCCGACATGTTCAGCCTCCTGCCTGGCTCCCCGCCTCATGCAAAAGCGTTTTCAGAATCAACTCTCCCAACACTGCCTCTCCCGGCTCAACCTCCTCCTCCTCCGAGACCAGCAGTCCAGGGTGGGTGACTGAGCCTGAGCTACCCTTGAAAGAGACTGTGGGAAGAGAGCCTGCAGCTTCCCCCTGGGCCTTCCTCACCAGCCCTGCATCTCTCTGTCTTGGAGCCTCCAATTCAGGTTCTCACTCTTTCTCCGGAGGGGCTTACTGAGTCAGCACAGCCTGGATGGGATCACAGGCCCTGAGGTGTCAGGAAGATGTGGTTCAAGTAACTGATAAATTGTATCCTTTGTAGGAGGCTTTACCTGGTGGTTTAGTTGGTAAAGAATCTGCCTGCAATCCAGGAGACCCCTGGGTGGGGAAGATCTCCTTGGAGAAGAGAATAGCTATCCTCTCTAGGATTCTTGCCTGAGGAACCCCATGGACAGAGGAGCCTGGGGGGCTACAGTCCATGGGGTCGCAAACAGTCAGAAAGGACTAAGTGACTAACACTTTTACTTTCCCTCTTAAACCTGTTTCATTGATAAAAATGGGGGTGGATGTGATAGAAACCACCTCCCCCCATGACTGGGAGGATTAAGTGAGGCAAGGACTTAGGATAGTGTGTGGCCCAGATCAGCGTTTGCAGTCTTTGGTTTTGCCTCTCTATCCGGTTATCCTGCTGTCAAGACCTCGCTCCAGTACCTACTAACAGGATGTCTCCTTATCTCCTGTGTCTACCTTGTCACCTCTGAACTCACCAATGTGGCCCACAAGACAAAGAAGCATCATCAATACAGAAGACCTGGGTTCAAGCACAAGCTCTGTCCTCCCCCGCCATCTCGCTTTGGGCTGGTACCCCTCACCTCTGAGATACCCCACCTGTCATGTAGGAGGACGAGCAAGACCTGCTTGTCAGGGTTGTGATGAGCAAATGAAAGGCTTTGCACTTTAAGGGCCCAGTTCCACTCCTCCTCCTTTTTAAAAACAGTCTGGGGACTTCCCTGGTGGTCCAGTGGCTAAGACTCCGTGCTTCCAAGGCAGGAAGCCCAGGTTCCATCCCTCTCTAGGGGAACTAGATCCTACAGGCCACAGATAAAAGTTTGCATGCCGCAACTGACGAAGACCCAGCACAAGCAGATAAATAATACACATTAAAAACATAAAAATAAGACAGCAGCTTGAGAGTTTACAGAGCTTAAAGTCCGTCCATCTTAATCTGTACAATTCAATATCTTTAGTATATTTTACAGAGTTGCACAACCATCACCAGAATATATTTGAGAACATTTGCATCACTTCCAAAAGAAATAGTGCACCCATTAACATTCACTCCCATCCACCTCTCTCCCATGCCTCCCCTGCAGGCAACCACTCTACTTTCTGTCTTTGCTATTCAGGATATCTCTTATAAGTGGGCTCATACTACATATGTTTTTTTGTGTGTGTGTATGGCTTATTTCACTTAGCATGATGTTTTCAAGTTTCCTTCACGTTGCAGACACATGTTAGTACTTCATTCCTTTTTATGGCTGAACACTCTTCCATTGTATGGTTCTACCAGTTTGTTTATCCATTCACTAGATGACGGACGTTTGGATTGTTTCTCCTTCTGGGTATTATGAATAATGCTGCTGTGAACATTCATGTACAGTTTGTGAGAGACATGTTTTCAGTTCTCTCAGGTCCATGCCTAGGAATGGAATTTCTGGGTCATACGGTAACTCTGCATTTTGAGGAACTGTCAAGCTGTTTTCCAAAGTGGCTGCAGTCAGTGACATTCCAAGCACTTCTTTTTGTAACCCTCAAGATAGGGTTAACTTTCTATTGGTGCCAGGACCCTTTGAGATTTGGTGAAAGCTTCCCCCAACTTCCAAGGAAACTTACATTTGCATACACCCTGAGCCCCAGGTTAGGAGGTGCTGTCCCAGGAATAAATGTCCGAATGGCCTTTTTTTTTTTTTGCTGCACTGCATGGCCAGTCATCTGACTTTAAAAGAAGAAGATTACCCTGGATGAGTCTGTGGGTCTTTAGCAGTGGAAGAGGCCAGCAGAAGTCAGAAGGAAAGGTCAGAGTCACGTGAGGGGAGAGGGGGCCGAGCTGTTGTTGGAGACAAGGGATCAGATAGCCAAAGAATGTGGATGACCTCTAGAAACCGGAAAAGGCAGGAATGGAGTCTCCTCTGAAGCCTCCAATAGGAATGCGGCCCTGAGAACATCTGGCTCTTAGCCCATGGGACACTTCAGAGCCTAAGAGAGTAACTTGGTGTTGTTGGAAGCCGTGACTTTTGTGGTCATTTGATACAGCAGATAGAAAAGTTTTCAAGATCCCTGTCTATTCTATCACCAACACTGTCACCCGCTGACTCCTCATTTCGGGTTTCCCGGGCATCTCCCCGAACTGAGCGTGAGCTCCACCAGGTCAGGAGCTGTGCATGATCCCCTCTGGGTGCCCAAAGCCAGAGCAGGTGGCACTCCCTGTCAACACGGGGTAAGGGGAAGATGAAAGGAGAGCAAGCCAGCCTTGCAAAGTCATGCCCAGACCTCCCTCGACTCTGATCTGCATCCTTCTCTCCCTTTTGTGAACACCCGATAGGCGGTCCATGAGCAGAGCTGGGCAGAAAGCGGGTCGAGGCGGCTCCAGCCCACCGCCTGTGCGCAGGAGCCCTAACACTGCCCTGACGTCGCCACGCCCCAGTCCCTCTTCCCCTGGCTCCCCACACTCCGTCAGAGGTACTGTCCCCGCCCCGGGATGTTTCTCCCGAAGTTCAAGCGCCGCAGGACGTGGTCCCAGGCAGTGTCTCCACCCCCCTCCAGCTCCCTCCTTGCCTCAGCCTTTGCCAGTCACTGGCCCTTCCGGCTCTCTGTTCCCCCTGCTGGGCTCATCTTCCCTTAGTCTTCCCTTTGCTGAAGCATTTTCAAATAAATCCTGGACATCATCTCATTCCACTCCTGTATACTTACTGTGTATGTTTTTAAAAAATGCAAAATTTTCCATACCTAATGTCATTATCCTATCTAACAAAAATAATGCTACCAAGTCCAAGCTCCTGCTCTTGACTGATCTCTCCAGTGAGAAGCTGATGAGTTGTTGGGGCAAGGAGTAGCGATCATTTAGAAGCCGCCAGAAGCTGAGAAGGTGGCAGACTAGCATCCCAAAGAACCACCTTCCTAGAATTCAGGCTTGTTTTATACTGAAAGGGTAGAGAGTAAAGTCCTGGTTCCAGCCATCCACTGGAAGCGATACCTTAATTTCTTCCAGCCAGTCATTCCCAGGTGGAAAAGTGAGCTAAACAAAGGTATTTTACCTTAATGTTCATCACCTGGGAGACAAGGTTCCCATTATGTGTTTTTTTTTTTAAAAAAAGGTTCCCATTATGTGTAACTTAAGTTTATAGGCAACATGCCTTTAGTGACTGATTTGGAATACAAAATCTTTTCCTGTTACAATTCCCCACTGTCAATGATCCATTCCACAGTCCCCTGCGAAAGGGATGAAGATTGCTCTAGACATACTGGACTGTGCCTAAGAAGAGGTGATCATGGAAAGGAATTGATTAGTCCTGGGTAGGGAATATTCTTTAGTCCTTTAGTCAGTAGTACAGTCCTTTTTGGAGAAGGAAATGGCAATCCACTCCAGTATTCTCGCCTGGAAAATCCCATGGACAGAGGAGCCTGGTAATCCTCTTTCCTTTTTTATATACAACTATTTGAACCTAGGGCTTCCCAGGTGGCTCAGTGGTAAAGAATCCACCCACCAATTTAGGGGACACAGGTTTGATCCCTGGTCCTGGAGGATCCCACGTTCTGTGGGGCAACTAAGCCTATGTGCCACAACTACTGAGCCCTTGAGCCGGGGAACCACAACTGCTGACGCCCGAGCAGCCCAGGGCCTGTGTTCCTCAACAAGAGGAGCCACCGCAATGAGAAACCCGCACACCGCAACTAGAGAGTAACCCCGCTTGCAACTAGGGAGTAACCGGAGAAAAGTGTGAGCGGCAACAAAGACCCGAAAAGAAACACCTTCTTCTACGTATATATGTTTTGGGCTGCCAGGGCCCAGCTGCGGCACGCAGGATCTTCACTGTGGCCTGCAGTCTCCCCAGCAGTGCTGAGCTGGCTTAGTTGCTCCACAGCCCATGGGATCTTCCCAGATGAGGGATGGAAACTGTGCCTCTGGCATTAGCAGGCGGATTCTTTACCGCTGAGTGACCAGGGGAGCCTGGAGGCCTTTTATTTATTTATTTACTTAGTCCAGATGGGCTATGCTTCCACCCATCCTGAGAACGTGTCTAAACACTAGCAGGTATCTGAAGTTTCCTGCAGCTCGAGGCCTTTAGGTCTATTTGCCAGTTCCTGGTGTGGCAGGTTCCTGTGTTGAGTCCTCAGCTGGGGATGTCTAGCAGCAGTCTTTGGGTTATTTTTAGCACAAATGATGCAGTTCTGAGAGCTCGCTAGATGGCCTTTTGTAGGCTAGGCCTTTTGTAGGCTAGGCCCCATTGTATACTTTTGACTCCGCTGTAGGGGGCCTCTCTCACGTGATGGGTACCACCGCAAATGTGCTGCCACCGTGTCCAAGGGCACCTGGGGGATCAAAACTGTTTCCTGTGCCCTACATTTGCAGCCAGGTGAGGTGTGGTCAGAGCGAAACCCCACTCTCTGGTCCTCTCTTTGTCCTTCTCTGAATGCACTGGCTGGCATTTTGATAACACAGTCTGTGGGAGGAGGGATGCTATCGTGGCTCGCTAATGGCCTTCCTTTGCTGCTTGGTCAGCTGCCTTTTACATGCAGAGGGCCATCAAGGTGAGGTGCTCTACTTGGCATTCTAGAGGTTGTAAGAACCAATGATTTTGTACTTCTCCAGAGCCTCCATGCCTGGGAGGATCAAGAGGTTTTCTGTGCCATCTTGGTGTTAACCAGACTATGATGCACCTGTGTTTATCAGAAAGTCTTCGCTCATCTCCCACTGCCCATCTGACCTGGAGCTCCTATGGGGAAATTGGAGTTGGATGCCTCAAGTCCAAGGGAGCCCCTGGGCTTCTTTGTTAAATCAGAGTGTTCCTCTCTTTCTACCACACTGCTGCTGGAAGGGGTCCCTTCCAGGATCCAAGAGTGGGTTCTTGTCTAACACTCAGAAATTGTCCGAGATGACATATGCACTGACAAAGAAAGAGACTTTATTGGGAAGGGGCACCCAGGCAGAGAGCAGCAGAGTAAGGGGACCCAGGAGGACTGTTCTGCCACGTGGCTTGAAGTCTCGGGTTTTATGGTGAGGGGGTTAAGTTTCTGGGTTGTCTCTGGCCAATCATCTTGCTCGGCCCATATTCGGCCTGACTCAGGGCCGAAAAATCCTGGGACATTGGGAGGACGATATTGTGGAGTAGCGTCTCCTCCCTCCTTTTGGCCCCTCCAGAATTTTCCCCATGTTAGTTTTTGGGGGGCAGCACTGTGTTCCTGATTGGGACCTCCTGTTGTGAGACAACTTGTGCAAGTTGTTATCATCATGCCTGACCAAAGCATGTGGTTTGGGTCAATGATTCCCTAACAATACAAGAGGCTCCTGTCTTTTTATTGTTTTTCTTATGTTTTAGCCTAGGGCAATCTTTTTCTGACATCCTTCCTCCTCACAGTAAGCATATTGTTCCTTCCCCAGTGGCATTATGTCTCTTTGGGTTACTTGCCTTTAGGAATCCAATGCTATGGTCAGAAAAGTGGTGTTGCATTTTGCATCTTCTTTCTTCTGTCATCGTTCCCTGTTGTCGCTACCAACTGAGAAGGGTTCATTCCAAAAACACCATCTAATTTTTGCCCCAATTTATATGAGGTGTTTTGCCCAGAAAAGGTCAAATTTACTATTCTATTATATTCAGAGGCCTCGGGATCTGCATCAGTCTGTAGGCCTGCTAATACTTTTTTGCTGAATTTCTTGGATTTTGTTCAAACTCTTCTGTTTTGGTTCCCCTTTCAAAGCCTGGCAGGATACATTTATAGTAAGGGCTGCTGCTGCTAAGTCACTTCAGTCGTGTCCAACTCTATGTGACCCCATAGACAGCAGCCCACCAGGTTCCGCCGTCCCTGGGATTCTCCAGGCAAGAACAATGGAGTGCCCGGCTCCCGGAAGTTCGATTCTCAGCAGCGGCTGAGGCCGCCCGGGTGAAGGTTGGCCGGCGAGGCCGGGGCCGGCGTTCCTGAGGGCAGAGTGACACCAACTCTTCATGAAGAAAATTTTGAAATCACTACACTGAGGATTGATGTAGCCACTGATGGAAGACACGCCGAGGTCGAATTCACGACCGACTGGCAGAAGGATGCCGAGCGCAGAGATCTCACCATAAATTCCATGTTTTTAGATCACACAGAGCACTGAGTACCATTCCCCAGGCTGCACAGTCTGTCATGAGTTAGCTGTTTTTACGTAGTATCCAGTAGTGTTTATATGTGCGTTCCACCCCCTCCTCCCCGCCTTGGTGTCCGTGTGTTTTCTTCTCTACCTCTGGGTCTCTGCTTTGCAGGTTTTGATGGTACTTTATTTGACTATTTTAATGGTTATGAAGATTTAAAAAATAAGAAAGTTAGATTTGTTGGACGAGCTAAACAGAGGATACAAGAAGATTATCTTCGGATTTTAGGGTATTTCAGGTTTTACGGGAAAATTGTTGACACACCTGGTGACCACGATCCTGAGACTTTGGAAGCAATTGCAGAAAATGCAAAAGGCTTGGCAGGAGTATCAGGAGAGAGGATCTGGGTGGAACTGAAAAAAATACTTACTGGTAACCACGTGAACCATCTGATTCATCTCATCTATGAACTTGATGTGGCTCCTTACATAGGCTTACCTGCTAATGCAAGTTTAGAAGAATTTAACAAAGTCAGTAAAAATGTGGAAGGTTTTTCACCAAAGCCAATGACTCTCTTGACCTCATTGTTCAAAGTACAGGATGATGTCACGAAATTGGATCTGAGGTTGAAGATTTCAAAAGAAGAGAAGAATCTTGGTTTATTTATTGTTAAAAATAGGAAAGATTTAATTAAGGCAGTAGATAGTTCAGAACCACTGAAACCCTATCAAGACTTCATTATAGATGTAAGTATGACAAACTGCAACCAGTTCATTAATACTAGGACCCATAGTGTATTATGTGAATTTCCTTTATTTTAAATGAAAATTTGCACATTGCATTTATTTAAATGTGAGCATAAGACCATTGCAAGTGTGGTGATGTTTGGTTTTGGCCCTCAGTCTAGAGAAGCTGATGCGACTGCTCGTGTGTGTGAGCTGCTCAAGTACCAAGGCGAGCACGGGCTTCTCAGGCAGATGCAGCAGTGGTCCATCCCCCCGTTTCCTGTGAGTGGCCATGACATCAGGAAAGTGGGCATTTCTTCCGGGAAAGAAATTGGGGTGCTGTTACAGCAGTTGCGAGAACAGTGGAAGAAAAGTGGTTACCAACTGGAAAAAGATGAACTACTGAGTTACATAAAGAAGACCTAAAGTTGACGAGAGCTGACTACTAAAAAGCAGGAAATTTTTGGTAAGACTAGTTTTCTCCCCCTCCCTCTTAGTGAGATTTAAAAGACTCGAATATATAGCAGAATGCAAGCCAGCTTAGGGGATCTCTTCAGAAGAATAACGGTCTTATTTTGTGAAAACTATATTTCAGGTACTAAAGTGAAGTCTGCTTCTTCTTAATCTGATTTGTTATCACTGAAGCTTGTAATTCTTTTGGAATAGTTCTTACTGAGAAAAGTAGAGTGGATTTTTGGTGCTTTTGTTGCATACGACAGTGCTAAGTGTCCTGAAAAACATGTTTCTTTGTATTTGCAATTGCAATTTTGTACGACGATTGTGTATGGTGTCAGTTTTTTTTCTGAATTCCAGAATAAACTTGTGTTTGAACATAGCTGAAAAAAAAAAAAAAAGAACAATGGAGTGGGTTGCCATTTCCTTCTCCAATGTATGAAAGTGAAGTTGCTCAGTCGTGTCCGACTCCTCGCGAACCCATGGGAACTGCAGCCCACTAGGCTCCTCCGTCCATGGGATTTTCCAGGCAAGAGTACTGGAGTGGGGTGCCATTTCCTTCTCCGTATAGTAAGGGCATATGCTCTAATAAGGGCATTCCTCCGTTATTGTGGTCCCAATGTGGTTCAGCTGTGGGTACCACCAAATGGGATTCTGGTGTGCTGTTTGGGTCTGTTAGATGGAGCTGGTACACTTCTCTCTTGGACTTATCAATAACTATCCTTTCATCTAGAGGATCCCCCCTATAATAAGGGCCACCAATTAGACAAGCCTGACCTGGAGAAAGCCCAAGGAAACAGCTAGCTGGCCATTTGCATCCAGGTCCCCTCAATAACTGTGTAAGGGAAACTGCCCTGCCTCAGGAGTGACTCCTGGCCCAAACTGAGTGCCTTGTTGGGTCTTGGATGGTGACACCACACCAGGTCCCTGTGCCTCAGGAATTTTCTAACTGATCCCTGTAAGGAGCGGGAGCTAGTTGGACCGCTTCCTGAGCCCCAGGTGGGGAACTGGAGCTGAATAGGAGTGGGAGGCGATGGAAGGAGTGGATATATTGGCACAACAGCTGGGGCAGCTGGGACAGCCCGCTTGGCCCAAGGTTGGAGCAATCTATCCTCACCCTTCTTCCTACTCTTTCCTTCCTGTATGATAGACTTTCCTTGGGCTTCTTTTACCATAAAGTGACACTGTCTGACTTTTTCTCACTCTGATGTAATAGCACAAATGCTTGCGCATAGAGGGTTTCATCACTCTTCCCCACTTCTTCACAGCATAGCTATGTTATTGTTTTGTTGTTTAGTCGCTAAGTTGTGTCTGACTCATTCAAAGGCCACTATAAAACCATAAATAACAACTGACTATCAGAAGGGTGCCTTTTGCCTCAGCATCCACCAACAAGGCTGGGTTCTGGGGTGGGACTTCTGGTGATTTTAGGAACAAGTGGAACCTTTCTCTTCTCCCTGGGAATGTCCTTTCCTCCACTGACAGTCTCAATGGAGACATGATACCAAAACTAAATGGAATAAAAAAACTAAAGAAAACTCTGAATTTACCCTCAAATTTGGTCTTGGGGTTTGACATGTCATAAGAACCATCAACTAAAACCCCATGTAATGTGACTCCTTGGAGAGTTGCTGGATCCAGACCATCAACACAGGAGACCAGAGACAAGGCAGCAGAGCAAGGCTAGTGGTCACGCAGGGATGTGAGAGCCAGATCATAGAGAAGGCTGAGCGCTGAAGAACTGATGCTTTCCAACTGTGGAGCTGGAGAAGACTCTTGAGAGTCCTTTGGACAGCAAGGAGGCCAAACCAGTCCATCCTAAAGGAAATCAACCCTGAATGTTCATCGGAAGGACTGATGCTGAAACTGAAGCTTGCAATGGCTGATGCGAAGAGCCAATTCATTAGAAGAGACCCTGATGCTGGGAAAGATTGAAGACAGAGGACAAGATGGTTGGATGGCACCACCTGACTCAATGGACATGAACTTGAGCAGATGGTGAAGGACAGGGAAGCCTGGCGTGCTGCAGTCTATGTGGTTGCAAAGAGTTGGACACGACTGAGTGACTGAACAATACAGCAGAGGTGACAGTACAGAGTCCCAAGACAGCCCTGCCTAAACCCCTCCTGGAGATCACAGCAGGCACTGTGCTACACTTCGTTACACTGAAACACCCCCTGCCTCTCAGTCAGCCTCATAGCTGTCATCAGATCCCTTATCCTGAATGTGCCCCGGAGGGCTTTTTTTAGGAAGAGTTAAAAATCCCAATTTTTTTTTTCATTTACTTTTATTAGTTGGAGGCTAATTACTTTACAATATTGTAGTGGCTTTTGCCACACATTTGACATGAATCAGCCATGGATTTACATGTGTTCCCCATCCCGATCCCCCCTCCCACCTCCCTCTCTACCAGATCCCTCTGGGTCTTCCCAGTGCACCAGGCCCGAGCACTTGTCTCATGCATCCAACCTGGGCTGGTGATCTGTTTCACCCTAGATAATATACTTGTTTCAATGCTGTTCTCTTGAAACATCCCACCCTCGCCTTCTCCCACAGAGTCCCAAAGTCTGTTCTATACATCTGTGTCTCTTTTTCTGTTTTGCATATAGGGTTATCGTTACCATCTTTCTAAATTTCATATATATGCGTTAGTATACTGTATTGGTCTTTATCTTTCTGGCTTACTTCACTCTGTATAATGGGCTCCAGTTTCATCCATCTCATTAGAACTGATTCAAATGAATTCTTTTTAACGGCTGAGTAATATTCCATGGTGTGTATGTACCACAGCTTCCTTATCCATTTGTCTGCTGATGGGCATCTAGTTTGCTTCCATGTCCTGGCTATTATAAACAGTGCTGTGATGAACATTAGGGTGCACGTGTCTCTTTCAGATCTGGTTTCCTCGGTTTGTATGCCTAGAAGTGGAAAATATCCCAACTTTTAAAGACAGAAATACAAGACAAATGAAACATAAGTGGCACACACATGCTAGCATACAAGGAAACAAACCAACCAATTCACAAATTGGGTAAAATATCTAGCAATTATTTTCTCTAACTGGGAACTCCACTCAAGTACAAAGCAAATTGGCTTATTCCACATGAAAAAACTCAAGAGAAGTGATCACATTTCAAGTTCTAGCTCTACACACCAGAGTGGCTTATCCAACTGCACTGAGCCCGTCAACTCCCAGATCTTGATTCTTTGCTCCCACTAGCGAGTGCTGGAGTAGCCAGTGCCATTTTGGGGAACTTGAAGGGGAAGATCCTCAGGACAAGAGGTCCTGGCAGCTATTCGGGACTTACTCCAAAATGCCCCAACCAAGTCAGAGGGCCATGAGAAGCAAGGGTCCTTGATGGTTTCACCAAAATCTGTTAACAAGTCTAAGCTCATACTGCTTTCTGAATGACAGGCCAACCAATCAAGAGATGGGTTGTTGTGGCAAGGAATGGCGACTTTATTCAGAAAGCCAGCAGACAAGAAGACAGCGAGCTAACTTCCCAAGAAACCACCTTCCCTGAGTTAGAATGCAGGTTTCTTTTATACTAAAAGGGGAGGGGCTGAAGTCCTAGTTCCAGGATGTGTTAACTTCTTCCTCTTGCAACCATTCCCAGGTGGGCCTGGTGAGGCTATTTTTTTGTGAGCTAATCAAAGATATTTTAGCTTAATCCTCACTCCCTGGGAGGCAGGAGTCCCAGAGATGGGCCAATATGCATAATCTAAACTGATAGGTAACATCCCTTCAGTAATTAACTTGTAACAGAATAATACTAGGGGCTTCCCCTATGGCTCAGTGGTAAAAAATCTGCCTGCAATGCAGGAGCCCCAGGAGATCTGGGTTCAATCCCTGGGTTGGGAAGATCCCCTGGAAAAGGAAATGGCAGCCCACTCCAGTATTCTTGTTTGAAGTATCGCCTAGAGGGTCACAGTCCATAGATAGGGTTGCAAAGAGTTGGACACAACTAAAGCAACTTAGCACATACACTCAGAATAATACAAATTTTCCTATCATAGTGACAATCATTTCTTAATATCACCTAGTAATTAGTTCATAATCAAATTTCCCTGATTGTTTTAAAAAAACATGTCTTTTTATTCTTTGGACCACTCAGAACAAGGTCCATATACTATAATACATTTGGTTATATCTTAAGGATATAATTGAGGCAAGCCTTGCTCAACCCCCTCCCCCCACCACACCTCTCTCATATATCATTGAGTTATTGAAGATACTGGATAAATTTTCCAGTAGAAGTACCTGCATTCTGGATCTCTTTGATTTTTTTGGTGTTATTAAATATGTTCCTCTGTAAATGGATGTTGGCCCTAGAGACTTGGTTAGCTTCACGCTCCACTCTTAGGAAAGAAAACCTTACAGGCAGTGCTGTGTGTGGCATACTGCATCTCTTCTTGAGGCAAGAAATGCCTCATGGGTGGGGTTCCACTTTTAATGATTCTAAGATTGACTGGTGGCTTCAGGTGGTGATAACCTGACTGATCCCTTGTAAAATTCCCTTTCAGGCTTTCATCTGATAGTTTTATTCATTGATGATAATTTCCTGCCTTAAATTTATTAGTGGCTGCAAAATGGTAATTTTCCAATTCTATCATTTTTTCTCACTCATTAATTGGAAGTCTCTTGTAAAGAACTTTCCCTCATCAACTAGGACAATTTGGTGACCCTGAAATACAATTCTCGCAGTAAAGGAGGGAGTAATGCTTATTAAAGGATAAAAGCAAATTAAAGGACAAAATTATTTCCTTTAATGGCCAGTATTCTACCCCACCTGTTTCTCTAACCCTCTAGCTCTTTATCCTCTTAGCCCCTTTCAGTATCACTCTGAATGGCTACATTTTGTATGTTCAGTGTTTCGAGTGCCTTCATTAATCTTTTTCCTAGTTTAGATAGCCCTATCTTAGGAGACAGGAATGATGGGAGCGTTGTGTGCTTTTGCTGTTCCCCTATTTTTTTATATCTTTGCTTTCTGGTACAACATGCCCCAAGTCTCATCCTGAGTATCCCCTGCTGACCTGGAACCGACCTTTCCTCCAAGGACGTGTGCACCAGGACATCTCACTCTCACTGTTGTCAAATAGTTTGTTGCTTCTAGGGTTTTTGAGTGACATTATGAGATTTTTACTTCACTTATTTTATACTTCTATCTTTTTCTCTTGCTCTGAAAACAGTGATTCCTAATGTTTATTATTATACAATATGCCATAAAATAGTTTCA